CCCCCACCTTCCCTCCAAGATTCCGTACTCTGTTCCATGCTTCCATGTCTCTGGATCCATTCGGTTCATCAGTTTATTTTGTTAATTAGATTCCATATATGAATGAGATCATGTGATACTTGTCTTTCTCTAACTTATTTCACTTAGCATAATACTCTCCAGGTCCCTCCACACTGTCTCAAAGGGTAAGAGATTCTTCTTTTTTTACTGCTGCATAGTATTCCACATGGTATAAATGAACCTCAACTTTTTTATCCACTCATCTACTAATGATGTGCTACATTTTATATCACCTACATTTCCCAGGGTGCAGTCTCAAGGAGCAGCTATACAGCAGCAGGGAACAGCCCTGGGAGTCAGGGGTTAGATCTCAGAGATAGGGCCATCGTGGGCTGGCCAAAAGGTATCCTACCATTTCTCCCTCACAGCCACCCTATGAAGCGGGAACTAGTGTTCTCTTATTCAGATGAGGAAACAGGCTTAGAGAGCTTAAGCCAGTGATTCCCAAAGTGGGCGCTACCACCCCCCGGTGGGCGCTGCAGCGATCCAGGGGGGCGGTGATGGCCACAGGTGCATTTGGGGGCGATGAGTAACTGCTATTAAAATTTAAAAAAAATTAATTTCCAGGGGCTGAGTAATATTTTTTCTGGAAAGGGGGCGGTAGGCCAAATAAGCTTGGGAACCACTGGCTTAAGCCATTTGTCTAAGGCGGTGGTAGAGATGGTCTTGAACCTAATATAGTTCTTAAATTAGGTGGTTGGTGGTTCATTTTATTATTAAGCCTTCCTATACTTTATATCTATCACATGTATCAAATATCCAAATTTTAGAAAAATTTGGGCACAAAATGGGATTTGTAAATGACTTTCCTTATGTAAAATATTCTCAATATAACATTAAACAATTTATTTTATTTTTTAAAATATATTTTTATTGATTTTAGAGAGGGAGAGGGAGATAGAAACATTAACGATGAGAGAGAATCATTGATTGGCTACCTCCTGCATGATTGGAGATCAAGCTGGCAACCTGAGCATGTGCCCTGACCAGGAATCGAACGGGACCTCCTGGTTCATAGATCGATGCCCAACCACTGAGCCACTGCGGTCAGGCTAAATAATTTAAAGAAATTAGCTCTTCTCTCCCTGTCTCCAAAAGCAGCAAATGCTGGATTATCTTCTATTGTTCCAATGACTATAATAATAGCAGAGGTAAAGGAAATATCTTTTGTATGAGAGTTGTCATGGAATCAGATTTGTTGTGAAGAACTAAAGAATTTATATTCGGAACTGTTTGAGCTAGAAATATTCCGTGGCAAGTATAACGGGGAAACTGAGACAGAAAGCTGAACAAACTGGTCCCAACAAGATAATAAATCACAAGGTCTTATCTTCCCTAACCAGGGACACTTAGGAGCAAATGGTTTAAACATTCCAGACCACTTAGGGGCAGACCCCATGCTGTCCGGGTCCCTCTTTGGTGACATTCTTTGAAGGTGAAACTGACAAGAGAATGACTCTGATTAATCAGCATATTAAAGGACACACCTGCAAAGCTGAATATTCTATTGAGATCCTCCCCTGAGACCTCTGCCAAAGTCCCCTTTAGAAACAGATTAAGAATCCCTAAGACAAGCCAGTGCGGGCTCTCTCTGGAGCACGCACTTGCCTTTCTTCCCTCTGAGGTGTGCATCTTTACTTTTCTCTCCCAAACTCTAACCGTCTCCACGAGCCTTGCAACCAGGGGAGCAGCAGGCAGTGGCAGCTTGTCCCAGGCTAACCCCCTAACCTGTGTCCAAGACCCCTTTACGCTGATAGCATCCCCATCTCAGCTCACTTCTGCCACTGGGGCTTTCACTTCTCAGTGAGTCCACACAGCCCAGCGTGGCCCACTTCCTTCCCATAATGTTTCTAAGGAGCCAAAGCAGAGCACTGCCTAGGCTCCCTTCTGCTGCTTCTTCTATCCTAGGCTCTTTCTTTGTTTCATTGTCCCCAACTGTAATACATCTACTCTCAAAATCACCTGAACTCTTACTGTGAAATCCTTCCTGCATGAAGTCAAGAACCCACACACTACCAGCTGCCCAAGGCAGACCTGCTCCGGGCCAGGTTCCTTTCTGGTGACATGTCCACCAGAGGAAGAAATACAGACAACATACACATACATAAAATCAAGAATATTTCTGTATAACAGCAATGATCACAAAGAAAATACCATCAAAACATTCACAACAGCTGCATCAACCATGAGTGATTTTATTAAAGATTGACCAGTGAAACGCTGACTGTAACATACACCTTGAGGCACCCACCTTGAACTTACTATGGGGTCCCCCAACCCCCTCGTTAGGCTTCACAGTATGTGCTTTCATCCCACCCAGAAAATGGAGCCAGGCCTCAGACTGTCCTCAGCCGTTGCTCTCAGGCAACTGAGTACAGACAAGTGGCCTCTTCTTCCATTATCCCACCAGCTCTCTAATGCATCTGAACCACAAAATGGGCCCTTGCTTCTTTCCTATCCCAGCTCCATCTTCATAAACTGTAACAGACAGGAGTCCCCAAGGGTGCAAAATATTTCTTTCCAGATAATTTTAAAGGCAATGGAAAAAAATGACCATGTGCTAATGGAGCTTCTATGGCTGAAACAAGGGTCTGCAGATGTGATGACTAGCCACACAGACCGATTGGTTATGCTGCAGTAAATGAAATTTATAACGTGTTTGAAGGCAGTAAGAAGTGCTGTGTTTATCTAGAGTTGGGATCAGGGCTCTTTCCACTATACTAAGCTGGCCCTTTAGCCCTTATTTATAATAACTGGTACTTTTTAGGGCTATCCCAGATTCAGTGAAATTTCCAACTTTCTGAAATATTTTCTCTCACAGACTCTATGCTAGTCTCTAAAACTTGACTAAAGGAAAAGAAAAATACCAAAATTAAAGTTACAATGTAAGAGTTGAGGCCGACAGCAGGAGAGGATTTTCCTGGAAGGCTTACTGCTAGAATCTCTAGCGGTTCCAGGCGACCTGCAGCTTCCCCCGAGTCAGAGGGCCCAGTTCGCCTTCAGAAAGCAAAGAAAACAAAAACTCAAGGAGCATCTGTTAAAAAGAAAAACTCTTTTTGCATACAAACAGGAAAATCAGAAATTCTCCAGTAGAAATGAGGGAATGATGGCATCTGAGGGTCTGGTCCAAGAAGAGACTAAAGTTCTGAAACTTAAGACAAAAATGGCTGATAAAGAAAATGTCCATAGACCTACAAGGAGCAAAAATAATGTAACAATGGGAAAAAATTGTATTCCGTTAAAACCTTCTAATGAATTAACCAATTCAACTATAGCCACTGATATATATAACTTGGAGAATAATCAAACTCTGCAGTTGTTACCAATTACAAATGATCGCCAAGGTCAACGTATGACATTAAGCCAAGCGTTTCACATTAAAAACAATAATAAAAAGAAACAGGTGACTACAGAAAAACCAAAGCAAGATGCTAACGTGCTCAAGAAACCTGTGCTTGGATCTTATTGTGGCCAAATTGTTCAATCTAAGGTTAATTCGTTTAGAAAACCTGTACAAGTCAAAGATGAGCATTCTGCAATAACAAAGAAACTTTCAACTCCTATCTCTAAGGCCACAAAACCTCAGCCTATAAACACAAGCAGTGTAACAGCAAAAAGTCACAGAGCCTCAAATATGATGACTACGACTAAATTTGTGAGGGCTACATCTCAGAATGAACAACTTTTATGTCCTCCTATTAGAAGTCACCACAGTAATACTCATAATACCCAGGACTCCCTGAAACAAGGCATTGCCAATGTTATATTCGGAAAGGGTCTCATGAGAAAGAATTACTACAATTAAATACAGTTTTATCTAGTGTCAAAACCATTTCTTCTCAGGAAGTAAAAAGAAATAAGACAGTATCAAGAAGCATCACATCTGAAATGATAGCCAGGCCTGCTTCATCTTCTAATATCAAACAGATAGAAAAGTCAAAAACCATTGACCAGTGCAGGCATACTATAGCAAAAGCAACTATCAATAGAAGGGCTCAGCCCAAAGAAACCGTAGAAGAAAGAAAAGCTCGTCTTGTTACAGAAAAACCGGAGAAGAACCAAGCAACGCTCTGAGAGTTTGGAGTTACACTTTATTCACCACGGTGGGCTTAGGGAAATGAACCCAAATTCTAAGCAAAGCTACAAGCAGAACTTCCCTTTTTATGGAAGAGCCAGCCCTTTGTGCGCTTAGTGGTTATCTTGCTGGCGGCCTTGAAAACTATACAGTTCTCAGTTCTCATGGCATTGGGCGTATCTAGTCTCTGGCCTACAAGGTCAGACAGCTAAGTTTATCTTCCTCATTATTCAAGCAGGCTAAAGCGGGCTAGAAAGCAAAGTTATTTTTTCAGAATAAGAGGCCGTCTAAAGAATAGCAGAGAATTCCAAACAGTAGTTTTACAAAATAGGGTTTTGCCTTCTCAGTCTGAGTGAGGGGAGAGCTAGCAAAGGAAAAATGTTGAAAAGGCCTCCTAGCTCAGTAATAACCCAGCCTGAACCTGAAGGACAGAATGAAAAACCAGTTGGGTCATTTTGGACTACTCTGGCAGAAGAAGAACAAAGATTATTTACTGAAAAAGTAAACGACATTTTCTGAATGCCTAAACCTGATTAATGAGGGATGCCCCAAAGAAGAAGTATTAAACACACTGAATGACCTGATTAAAAATATTCCAGATGCCAAAAAACTTGTTAAGTATTGGATATGCCTTGCACGTGTTGAACCACTCACAAGTTCTATTGAAAATATTATCTCAATCTTTGAGAAGGCCATTCTGGCAGGAGCTCAGCCTATTGAAGAAATGCGACATGCAATTGCAGATATTCTAACAATGAAGAGTCAAGAAAAAGTTAAATTTGGAGAGAATCTTGAGGAGGCTTGTGCAACCAAGGAAAAAATCCAAGAAGTCAACATTGAAGATATTGGTGTTAATCTAGAGTCAGAAAAACCTGAAATGGAAAATAAACATCATAGAAATGTGGTATTTCAAGATTGTAAAAAAGAGCAAGTACACAAAACAAAAGATCCAACCAATGATGTTAAAACCCCCAACAAAGAAACTAGGGAGGGTTGCTTAATTAAATATAATGTGTCTACTACACCATGCCTTAGACTTCGCCTGTTCTTGGCATTGTACTAGTAACATCAGCACATACCCAAGAGGGGTCTAGAAGGGTCAAAGCACTGAAATGTCCTTTGAAATCTGCCCAGGGCCAGTTTTTAGGAGTATCTGGACCTTAGTCAGCCAGAATTTTCTAGGGAAGCAATAGAGTTAGGTTTACATTCTGGGAGGTCCATCCTGTTCTAGGGAGCAGAGCGGGGGAGGGAGGTAGCAGTCAGTGGCTTTTTATCTTCCTTTGAGCTCTGTAGATTTCTGCTGGTTTGGGCTAAGAAGAATATGCTGGAGGATATGCACTCCTTATCCTCATCTTTAAGCCAAGAGAAAGATCTATCACAGTGCTGAGGTACCTTTTAAGTGCTTCTAAGACAGCTTTAACACAGCTCTGGGCTGGGACAGAAAGCCTCAGAGAAACCATAAAACACAATCCATAGGGCACCATTACATTGTCTTGTTCTGGGAATTCCGCCTTCAGACAAAACCACACCTCATGAATACATAAGCAAGCACTTTCTGAGCCAGCTAACAAAGGCTGCGCTCCGAGCGTGAGCCTCATTCTGGGGAAGATGGAGAAGTGGCCGAGCCAACCAGGCAAGTGCTTCACCTCTGTGTGACAGTGTGAGAGGGGAGAGCCCACAGTGGAAAACAGATCTTGTTTGTAATGGTCTCATCTGAAAAGCTATGCAGCAAATACTCTACAAACAAATATCAGCCTAGATGGTTGGAATAGCTGGTGGCATCTAAACGCTGGGCTGTACGTTCGCTAAAGACTTCAAGACAAGGACCAGAATCAAGACTCTGAGACAAGGAATCTCTGAACATGTTTGACCTGGAGCTGCCATCTCTTACGAGTATTTCCTGTTTGGCTGTAAAAGTTAATGGGATGAAGCCTTCACTATCAGCAGAGAGAAGGATCCAGCGGGAGTCTGCAAAGTAAAATGAACACATAGGCAATTTAGGATATATCATCTTATTCCACAAGGAAAAACAACAAATATGACTTTTGGGGGGGAAGAATTCAGTAGCTGATAATATTAAACCTGATCATAAGGCTTTAGAGAATGGGGAGATGGAAGGACTGTTACGGAGGGTCTGGAAATATGGCAGGAAGAGGATGTTGAGGACTTAGGCAGAGCTAAAGGACATACACTTTTCACTCCGGCTGGGCATTTATTACTCAGTAGTATGCATCTGGGCTTCTGCCTGCACACACGTTAGGGGTTGTGTGTGGAGTGTCCCTACCTTACCTACATGCTCTTAATCAGTTTCTCCAGAAAATATGCAAGATTGGGAACAGCCACTCTTATGGAGGAACCTTCTCTACTCTTTAGATCCATACCAACCTCTGGACACCCAAGGAGGCAAAAATGACCAGAGCTAGACTAGAATGGCCCAGAAAATCCTGTATGGCTAGTTCCAGGATAGCCGAGGGCCATCAGCATGCCTGGACCTTCTCTGGCTCTTTCAAGTCTATGGTGTCTTAACCTTTTGACCTTGTAATTTCACTTCTGAAAATCTATACTTTCCAAAAACAACACGTAAAATAGAGAGGTTTTCATTAATGTTATTTATAATGGGCCACCACTGGGACCCACCAAAATGTCAAGGAAAATGTAGCAGCCCAGCTAGTGTTGCTCAGTGGTTGAGTGTTGACCTATGAGCCTGGAGGTCACAGTTCAATTCCCGGTCAGGGCACATGCCCAGGTTGCAGGCTCGATCCCCAGTGTGGGGCCATGCAGGAAGCAGTCGATCAATGATTCTCTCTCATCACTGATGTTTCTCTCTCTCTCTCTCCGTTTCCCTTCCTCTCTGAAATCAATAAAAACATATTAAAAAAAGAAAAATATATATAGTCCTAGCTGGTTTGGCTTAGTGGATAGAGCGTCAGCCTGCGGACTGAAGGCTCCCGGTTCGATTCCAGTCAAGTGCCTAAGAAAACCAAAACCTGATGGAATGTGGGCATGACTCAGTCCCTCACCATCCAGAAGTGTCTCTCATGTCCATATGTTTGCTGCACATTAAAACAACCCTTTTCAGAAATATTCTGCAATGTTGCTATGATCTTCATGTTCTAGTGCAACAGGTATATATGAGGTTTTTATGTGATTTCCTTGCAGTTGTTATACAGGGTGGGGCAAAAGTAGGTTTATAGCTATGATTACTCAACACAGTTTATTCTTGTATTATTACTTATTAATTATTGCATTATTTTCAATACGACCAACTGAAAACCTACTTTTGCCCCACCCTGTATATGGCTTCGTAACTTTTTTCTAGTTTTTCATGTATACAGTTAGGTTTTTCAGCTAGGCTATAAGTTCCTTAAGGGCAGAACACATATTTTCCATGTGTCTGGTGTAACAGGCCTGGGTATACGGCAGGCAATTAATAATAGTTGTTAATTATCTAGAGATTCATGGAATGATCAGTACACATCATTTTCATTACCAGTGAAAGTAACAAAACAGATGGTGGAAGGAGGGGTGCTGGGCAGGGTTGATTTCTGGATTTTACCTACCATGCAGCATTTCAACAAGAGCGAGGCCGAAAGTCTGCTGCACTGTACTGAGCCTCAGTTTGCCATTGCAGAGAAGCACGTCTCTTTTTTCAACAACAGATTCTACAGAATAACGTTTCTTCAAATACAAAAAAAAGTTGTTAAGCCAATTGCAGAAGCAATGGAGTTAACATTTCTTTAGAAAGTGCAAATAGTTTTTTAAAATCCTTATCTAGTACCACTATCAATTAGACTTCAGTTTTATATCAGGAGCTTTTTGCTCTATTATTTAACACAACTAAAGGGTCAGAACAAAACACAACCCCTAATTTACTTTTCCTAGAACTTTATCACTAGGAACTGGCTGTCCTAGGATCTGACTAATAACACTACAGATGATGGACGGCAGCCTAAGAGACACAATCTGATGGTGAGGAACAGGTGCCTGGCTATTTTAGGTATAACTCACAAAACTTAATGCTCTCTTTATTGGGGGGGAAAATGCCAAGAAAGACTGCCTTAAGGATTTGCACAAGTAAACAAACTGGTCAAAATTCACTTCGTTTAGAAAAAGTACAAATAAAAATGATTATTAAATTTTAAAGTCTTATTAAACATTAACTCATCTTTAAAATTGGTTTCAAATATCCCTAGATAAAGAAAATATAAAATAATTACAGCTCTAATTTAAGATATATTAAGAGTCCAAAGGTATAATCATAAAATAAAAAATATAACTTCTAATTATATGTTATTTGCAACAATAACTTCCTGTAAGCATTTGAAGAAGAGTTTTATTAGCAAGTTATGTATCTAACTTATTTTGTTGTTAGAATTATTACTACTCATTTTCTGACTACTGAGAAATATAATTTCAACCATGGAAGATAAATTGTACTACATTGGTGGAAGAATAAACAACTAAAAGAGCATGTCTACTATTAACATTTTAAATATTAATAAATTATAAAGGCCAGAAGCAACTAATCATTTATTTGAACTCTATAAAAAATGTCACTTTGGAAATTACAGGAGAAACTCTTCCTTGCTACTGATTATTTTGCCTTTTTTTCTCTCACTTTTCTCATTACAAAAGGGATATATCCTCAATATAGAGTAAAACATAAATTTATAACGTGGAAAGTAAAGTCCCCTCCAGAGGTAATTATTGATAACAGCTTGGTTCAATCAGTTCATTATAAACTGAGAAACTGAAGAACTGAAAAGGCTAAATACCCCACATTTCTTTTACTCAAAATATACAGAATTTCACATTTACAAATGTTTACGAAAGAAAAAAAATATGTTATTATTTGGTAGAAAAAATATAGACTTACTTAGAACTAACTCTGTGATTTTCTCTAAGGGTTCAATTATGAAGAATTTTTACTTTCAACATTAATTATTCCTATATTGGTTACATTCCCTTTCTCCCCCCAGTGAACACATATTACTTTTGTAATTAGGAAAAAAAAAATACTGTGCAGATGTAGAAAAAGAAAAAAGCTCTATATGCTGATATGGAGAATTCTTTTTAAAAAAAATATATTTTTATTGATTTCAGAGAGGAAGGGAGAGGGAGAGAGAGATAGAAACAGCAATGATGAGAGAGAATCATGGATCAGCTGCCTCCTGCATGCCTCCTACTGGGGATCGTGCCCACAACCCAAGCATATGCCCTTGACCGGAAATGAACCTAGGACCCTTCAGTCCACAGGCTGACACTCTATCCACTGAGCCAAACCGGCTAGGGCGATATGGAGAATTCTTGAGGATATATTATTAAATGGAAAAAGAAAGATTCAAAACACTGGATATAATGCCTTACACTTTGTGTAAAAGAGGAAATAAAAATATATAGTGTCCTGGCCAGTTTTGCTCAGGGGATAGAGAGCGTCGACCCACAGACTGAAAAAGCATCCCAGGTTCGATTCTGGTCAGGGGCGTGTACCTTGGTTGCGGGCTCGATCCTCAGTGGGGGGCATGCAGGAGGCAGCTGATAGATGTTTCTCTCTCATCCATGTTTCTAACTCTCTATCCCTCTTCCCCTCCTCTCTGTAAAAAATCAATAAAATATATTTAAAAACATATATATAGTAATATCTGCTAGTATCTGCATAAAGAAATAAAAATAAAAATGTTAACTATAGGAGGTCAGGGGAACAGATTGCACAGAGATTGATTTTTTACAGAGAGGAAGGGAGAGGGATAGAGAGTTAGAAACATCAATGAGAGAGAAACATCGATCAGCTGCCTCTTGCACACCCCCCACTGGGGATGTGCCCGCAACCAAGGTACATGCCCTTGACCAGAATCGAACCTGGGACCCCTGAGTCCACAGGCTGACGCTCTATCCACTGAGCCAAACCGGTTAGGGCTGCAAGTATCTTTTAAAACAAAGATATATGTCTACAGTAATCAAATCAGTGTGATATGGATAAAGTTCTAGGTAAAGAGATCCACCCTCCAACAGTTGCAGTACGGAGAATCTAGAATTGGATACCAGTACAGATAAGTTTATATATGATAAATATGGTAGACTCAGTTCAGTGGGATAAAGGTGAATTTTTAGTAATGTACCTGACACAACTGGCTATCTAACTCTCAGAAAATAGAAGTGGCCCATACACAAAAATTTAATTAAAGATGGAAAATGTAAATGTAGGCCCTGGCCAGGTAGCTCTGTTGGTGTGATACCGGGTCAGGGCACATACAAGAAGCAACCAATTAATGGGTAAATAAGTGGAACAACAAATCAATGTTCCTCTCTCTCTCAAATCAATTAAAAAACACAAATGTAAAAAGCAAAATAAAAGATTGCAAGGGCCCTGGCTGGTTTGCTCAGTGGATAGAGCCTCAGCCCTTGGACTGAAGGGTCCTGGGTTCGATTCCAGTCAAGGGCATGTACCTCGGTTGCAGGCTCGATCCCCAGCCTTGGTCAGGGTTCATGTGGGAGGCAACCAATCGGTGTCTCTCTCTCACATTGGTATTTCTCTTTCTCTTCCAGCCTTGGTCAGGGTTCATGTGGGAGGCAACCAATAGGTGTCTCTCTCTCACATGGGTATTTCTCTTTCTCTTTCTCTGTCTCTCCCTTTCCCTTCCATGCTCTCTAAAAATCAATGGAATAATAGCCTCAAGCTCCCTTCCATGCTCTCTAAAAATCAATGGAAAAATAGCCTCAAGCGAGGATTAAATAAATAGGTAAATAAATAGGTAAATAACTAAATAAATAAAGTATATTGCAAGAAAATCTAGACATTACATGCATATTAATTTGTATAATATACAAAAACTTCTTGTAAACTGATAACTCAATCGTGAAAAAATGAGCAATAGGTAACTCATTCATTGGCCCCAGAACATGAAGATATATGTACTCAAATTCACTAATAGTAAAGGGAAAAAGAAATTAATAAAAGTGAAATACTATTTCACATTTATCACATTCATGAGGATGTGAGGAAAAGGTTGCTGGTGAGCATGTAATGACACATTGTTAAGTAAAAATCTTTGAAAGGCAATCTGGCAAATTTTTTTAAAAAGTAGAAACATATATTCAAATTGCATTCCTGCTTCTGGGAACCAACCCAATAGAAACAAAAGTAGGAAAACAAATGGATACATACAAGAATACTGTTGCAGCACTAAGCAACTGAAAACAAAGTGAATGTCCATCAACAGGGAACGCCTGAATAAACAGCATGCTCTCAGCATGAAGTAAAGAGTACACCATATACCCTATTTCTATAAAACAATAACCACCCCTGAACCTATATATCGCTTGTACCTATGTATCTATTTATGCAAAGGACTGTGTAAGATTATGAGTATGAATTACACTATGGAAGGATCCACATTAAGCTGCTAGTTAAGTGGGGAGGAGCAGAGGTCAGTTCCATAGGGAAGGAAAGTGTTCATGATAAAGCAGTGGTTCTCAACCTTCTGGCCCTTTAAATACAGTTCCTCATGTTGTGACCCAACCATAAAATTATTTTCGTTGCTACTTCATAACTGTAATGTTGCTACTGTTATGAATCGTAATGTAAATATCTGATATGCAGGATGGTCTTAGGCGACCCCTGTGAAAGGGTCGTTCGACCGCCAAAGGGGTCGTGACCCACAGGCTGAGAACCGCTGTGATAAAGTGACAGGATGCTATTTATGTAATACTACGTTTGCATGTGCATGCATAAATAGATGCATTGACATTTCTTATAAATGGAAGAGGGTCTGCACTGCATAAGAAAAAAGTTTCACAATGAAACAGCACAAGTAAAAAAAATTTTTTTCTAAATATGAACTGATAGAATAAGTGCAATCATTTGTGTTTTCACACCATGCACATGATAAAAATCAGTGTATCCTGGTATGTGTGTCCATGTGGTTGGCAGGCAACCAACCTGTAAAGGTGTAACAGCTTGCCTGTAACATAACATGCCCAGTTCAATTTAAACACTATCTTTCCCAACCATTTTTCTGGCAGTGACTACTGGCTGCAGGAGCTTATGTACAGTGGTAGCTCCTGAAGGAGGAATTACCTGGTAAGAGATGTGGACGTAAGGCAGATCCTGAGAGAGCGGATACACTGGAGAGGACTTCTTTCCATTGCGTAGGAAGTCTGTGAGTTCAGAGAGACTTCGCTGTACTTCCATCAGTGTCCTAGATAAAATTTCCAGTTCCTTAGAGAGCTGACAAGTTTCCTTTTCCCGCTGTAAGTTCTTTCTTGGAGGGAGATTAAGAGGGCCCAGGGTGCTGGTGTAGTCTGGTGTGCTGCTGGGTTTGGGCAGTGTCGCTGACCCGTCAACGGGCTCGGCCTCTCGAGTTTCCAGGGCTAAGGAGTCATCACACACACTGGATGGCGGGCGTCTGATTTCTTTAATAAAAGTACTTCCAGGCCTTCCACCTTGACTACTGCTATGAGCTGTTAACAAGAGTCCTCTGTTTTGGTGACAAATATCTGGGGAAAGACTCTCAATTGGCTTTTTCCTCTCTGCTTTATTTAACAGAGCACTGAGGGTAGTATAGCCACTCTGGTTTTCGCTCACTGTTACTGGAAACTCCTCTTTCAATGTTACTTCTCTAACAATCAAGCGAATGACATACTCATCAGACTTTGAAGAAGGGAGAAATGTCGAATCAGTGGATTTTTGTTTTCCTATCAAAATTAATAATAATTTATCTGTCAAGAAACATATGCCTTTTGGTCTCTCACCACTCTCTAATTGAATTTGCTGGATGTTTGGCATAACCGCTGGAATGACAGAATAGATAAAAATTATATTACAAGTATTGGAAGCCACGGCTACAACCTTTGCTTTCAGATTAAATGCTATTAGATCAGGAACCAGAATGCCTGGAATGGTGACTTTTTTGACCTGGGTCACCACTTGCGCAAAGGTCACAAAAGTCAAATGTGAAGAATCCAGATCGGTTCCTGCCAAGTAATTCTTTTTTCTTAGACAAATAAGGGCACTGCTCTCAGACTGAGATCTATTGAAACGTATATGAGTTAGATCCAGAGGATCTGAACCGGAAGAAGAAAAGGGAGACACTGATGTGTCGGAATTTGTTCCACAAGAGGCTGCTCCTTTATCCACAGAGGGCATCTCATCAGTAACTGGTGACGTATACAGACAAGTGTCTTCACTGCTGGGTGGAACGCCAAATGTCTCAGATGCATTTAAGCCACAAATCTTACCTAGTGGAAGTTCGGTGGCTAGGACGACCTGTGAGTCCACAGCGGCCCCGATGGAGCGCACGTCGCTGCGCACATCCAATACTGGGCAGAAGGAGCACCGCTGGAGAGTCTTCTGAGCACTGTCCCACATGTAAGAATGCAGGCTGCTGCCTACGGCCACCACCAGCCGCTGGCCATCCTGGGTCCAGCACGCACAGTGAATAAGGCCCTGGGCGCTGCTGTCCGCTTTCACTCGGGAGCCATCACAGTGCACGTTGTGGGCAATGGAGACATCCCGTGCAGTCAGCACCGCCAGAACAGCACTGTGTGGGTGCCACACACAGCCTTGGGGAAGGACAGGGCGCGATTCTCTAATCTCACAGGTCTGAGACAGCAGCGGCTTGCTTGTTTCCGTGGTATTGGGACACAGCTGCCACACAGTGACATGCTGCTTGTGCTGGACAGCGAGCAGAGGGGGCGTGTCCGCTATCCCAGGTGGGGCCCACGACACCCCATACACATGCTCAAATTGCCCGATGACCTTCGAGTCCCCAAACTTGGCCTCTCCACGCTGAAGCTGCACATCAGTCAGGACTACCTGCTTCCCATCGGTCCAGACAAGGCCGTGAATTGGGTGTACTGCTTGATACAATGCATTCAGCCCACTCCTGAGAAGTTCTCCTTTTCCCAACTCCATCCTTTCTGATAAAGGTCATCTGAAATAATTAAAAAGAAAAGCTACATCCTGAGACTGTCATCAGAGAAATCCAGAATATAGGACATGTTTCAAGACAACTGGCTTAAACGTTTCACGGGTCAGTATTGTGAGAGGATAAAAGGATAGGAGGAGTGTGGCAGGTTCACAGAGACCACTGAGCCAAAACAAACAAATGCAACATATAATCTTTGGATCTTAAATTGAGGAAATAAAATTTTCTACTCCCCTCCCCCCCAAAACTGGGAAAATTAGAATATGGAATGGATATTAGATAACATTGTAGAGTTAATAATTTTCCTAAGTGTGACCATGGTACTGTGGTTATGCAGGAAAATGTCTTTATTGTTAAGATAATGTATGTTGAAGTATTTGGGATAAAGTGTCATAATGCCTACAACTTGCTTTCAAATGCTTTAGAAAACAAACAACCCCCCCCCCAAAAAAAATATATATCAAAAAACATATATGTGTGTATATACTTGGTATATATATATAGAGAGAGTGCACTAAAGCAAATGTAGCAAAATGTTAATAATTGCTGAATTCAGATTGAGACTATGTCAGTATTCATGGGATTTTGAACTTTTAAGCTAGAAAAGTTTCAAATTAAAAAGTTGAGAAAAGTCTCCATCATCATCTAATTTCTATTCTCCTTTCACTGCCAATTCAATAAATAAATGATATTCACGACTCAATGGCCTTTACCTCTATACTGAAATGACACTCAAAAGTCACTAGTGCTCTTTCTACTTCATCATTTTCAAATAGCACTTAATTTTCAGAATAGTGTCACATTCCCGATTGCATTTGCTCCTTGCAACAATCCTTCACAATAATGTAAACCAGGCTAGGCAAGTATTACTCTCAAATTTTTCATTC